CTATCTATCTATCTATCTATCTATCTATCTATCTAATCTATCTATCTATCATTATCATCTATCATCTATCATCCGGATCTATCTATCATCTGTTTATCACCTCTATCTATATCCATCCATCCATCCATCTCCAGGCACCAGGTAGATGAAATCATTCCTGTTGAAGTAGTACAGCAAAACGGCTTCCCTTCAAGAGAAACTGCCTCTCACATTATTATGTGACTTGCAGTTCTCTTCTCACATCTGGAGTATGTCTCCTGCAGAAGCCCATGCGTGGGGTTCTGCGAAAACAGGCAATTCTTCTTTTGATGCAATGCAAAATTCCCCCTGTGGGGATGGATCATTGGGCACAAAATTTTAATAGCACTATTTGTCTAGGTTCCCTTGGTAGTTCAATCAGAAAATTGTGTTAAAAAAATATAAATTTAACCACTGCTACATACATTTAACTATTGTTACTGTTTTCCAGAAAATAAAAGCACAGCTGTGACCATCCAGAAAGGCTGTGCCACGGAGTCCATGTGCAGGAGAGACACAGATATATATCTTAGACTGAAGGGAGAAGATTCTCATGCAGAATGTTGTAAAAGGAATCTTTGTAACAAAGCCCATAGTCTTTCCAGCCCAGAACTGATGACAATTCTCAGTTTATGGTTGGTGCTGAAGGTCTATCAATAACTATCATTGGTTCATGGATATCCCAGATAGTTTCACCTGTGGCACAGATATAAATTTGGGATGTTTTGGTGGTTTTTTGCATCTGCCATTCAAATGCATAACTTTCGTTGCCCTGTGTGATCTCAAAATGTTGCCTTTCTTTCTCCCAGTTTGCACACCAAGAACATGAAATTTCACTTGAGTTGACCTCAACCTCAGGTGACACAAAGATCTCTAAGTAATTTTCTTGGCAACAATGCAGAAGTGGGTTGACATTGTCTTTCTCCAAGATATTTTTCTCAACTTTCCAGTTGAGACTAAAACCCTGGTGGTCTCCATCCAAATAATTACGAGATCCTGATCAGGCAGCAATACAGCTAGTGAAACTATAAAGCAGTGTTTCTCAACCTTGTTGTTGTTGTTCAGCCGTTAAGCCGTGTCCAGCTCTTTGTAACCCCATCAACCTTGGCAACTTTAAAATGGGTGGATTTCTATTCCCAGAATTCTCCAGCCAACTGGGAGTTGAAGTCCACCCATCTTAAAGATGTCAAGGTTGAGAAACACTGATCCAGACAGACAGGCTCTGCTCAGGTTCTGGTGCTTCTGTAGCACAGTCAGTGCCTCCACCCAGACAGGCCCACCACCCAGACATCTCATCCAACACTATCTAATGATGTTGAGCAATGATCAGAGTTTTTCCTCAGGATTTTTTTTTTTTTTTGATACAATTAAACATTCAGACCATTTTGGATAGCTGTGATCAACACGTGGATTCTTTCAGATGATTTTTGAGGGTGTGGGTGGGCAAATCAAAGCCACAATTCCCCTGTGAGACATGGACACTGCTAGCACACATGGTTGGAGATACTTCCTCCATCACATCCCACTTTTATTTTTCGATCTGATGACTTTGGATGGCAGGTGGCAGAGGTTTGGGTTTGGGGGCTACCCATGGCAGACTTTGGTTGCAGATTCAAGGTCAATCAAAACAGTATGTAGAGTAAGTGGCTTCATTTTGATTCTTGGGTTTTTAAACATCGGTCATGTCCTCTGTGTTGGCAGAGATCAACTTCTTGTCATCGAATGATAAACAAGCAAATAAATGGGCTTTTATTGCATTAAGCCTGAGAACCTCCTGTTGTTCTTGAACTGGAAAAGTGTGGCTGAGATGGGTCTGCAAAGCAATTGATCGGTGGGCCATGTGGAAGGGCGAATTCCCCACCCCGAGCGAGCAGGCCTTTCTTTTCCCTCCTGGGATCCGGAGGTGGTGCCTGGGAAAGAAACAGCCCCCCCTCCTCCATTGGAGAGGTTGTCCTATAAAATGGGACTGAAAGCAAGCTTGGGGGGGGGGCAAGAAAGGGGTCACGCCAAGAAGACCGCAGGGAAGCGGGAAAGAGAAACCTCCAGCCCAAAGGCGAGCAGGTCAGCCAAGAAAACTGCAAATTCCTGGAGCTGCAAGACCGGCTGAGAGATGGGGAGGAAAAGAGCCCGGCTGGAGTCTGCAAGGGCAGCTCCCAAAAGAGAGGACCGGGGCTGCTGGGGAGGGGGAAAAACCCACTGGCAAGTGTACGGAAAAGTGAAAAGGGTTTGGCTGCAAGAGCTGAAGACCTGGGTGAAATGGAGTTAAGGAACAGTTAACTTAGTGTTACAAGCATAGAGTGATTACTATATTTACTAGAATACTATGTTTAATTTATAGGATGTTATATGGTCCATATCAGTGTTGTCCAAACTTGGCCACTTTAAGATGAGTGGACTTCAACTCCCAGAATTCCCCAGCCTGGCTGGGAGTTGAAGGCCACTCACTCTAAAGAGGCCGAATTTGGACAACACTGATATGGACCATATAACATCCTATAAATTAAACATAGTATTCTAGTAAATATAGTAATCACTCTATGCTTGTAACACTAAGTTAACTGTTCCTTAACTCCATTTCACCCAGGTCTTCAGCTCTT